TCCTCCTCCTCCTCCTCCCCCCCCGCCGAAGAGGCCCACGGCCTGCCGGGCCGGGCCAGGCGAGCTGGCCGGCCTTCCGAGGCCACCCGGCCTCGGCCACGGGCCGGCAGGGCTGCCTGGGAGGGCCCGGCGGGGGAGGGGCACCGCACGGTCTCCGAGGCCCCGGGGCGGCTCCCGCCACAGGTCGAGGAGGGGCGTGCGTGGGAGGCCTCGTTGAAGTCAGGCCCAGAACGACCGACAGCACACTGACGGCGCGCCTCCTGAAGCTAGGAGGCCTCCTTGAAGTCAGGCCCAGAACGACTGACAACGCACTGACGGCGCGCTCTGCCAGGAGAGCCCAGAGTCGAGCCGACAAGTCGGATCGGCGATCGAAATGAAGAGGATCGGCGGGAATCGGCAGCTAAGTCGGGAGGAGTCGAATCGGCAGGCTAGTATGCCTCCAATAAGAAATCGGAGCCCAAATCGGAAGATCAAATCGAATCGATTCGGAATCGGAAGCCATCGAAGTCGAATGAGAAGTCGAAACGAGCCCTGCTCTGCTGTGGGAGCGCACGGATGCGTACGAAGCGAGCTTCCTGGCAACAACGCTGGCAGAACGATGTATGCCAGCCGGGGGCGGGCACATGCGGAGCTGGCCTGCTGCCATCGACGCGGGCAACGCGATGTGCGCCAGATGCGAGCGGTTATTCGAGCGCTGGCAACGCGGTGTGCGCTGGGAGCAAGAGGATACACGCAGAGCGACCTTCCTGACAACAACGCTGCCAACGCAGAGTGCGCTACCCACGAGCGGTCGCGCGCCGGGCAGCCTGCGGAAAGCCCGCTGGCAGGTACGCGCGGTGCAAAAGTCCTGACAACAACATTGGCATCACGATATTCAATTGAACAAGCGCACACGCAGAGCGAGATTCCCAGCAACACGATGCGCGACAACCGCTGTGCGCCTAGGGAGGGATAGATACATACTCAAGATGCTACAACAAAGTAGGGAGGCATCACAACCCTCACCGACGAGCAATTTCAGACCCCTCACACCCAGACCAGCCATGAAAGGGCGGTCTTTGTATCCAAACCCCCGAACCCTCCAAGACAGCTCAAACCAGACCCCTCCCCCACAAAACCTGAACCACCAACTTTAATATGCTAGCCAGCGTGGACCCAAAGCAACGCGTGCGTAGCAGAATCTGATGTACAACCTAGCTTGGGAAATCTACGTGGTGCAATATACGTGGCGCCACATATGTCGTGCAAAAAGTGTTGTGCCATCTACACTGTGCCGTATATCTATATATGTATATTTATGCATATGTAGAGACATGGAAATATATATATATATATATATATATATACATATAAGTGTACACTCTGCGCAATACGTGTGGAGCAGTGTATGTGGTGCAGTCGATGTGGTGCAAGAGCTGTGGTGCAATCTGTGCGGTGCAACAGATGCTGTGCAGTATATGTAGTGCAAAATATGTGATACAATACATGTCATGTGCAATAAATTCGCCGGCCCAACGGGCCAGGGCGTGCTAAGATCTCAGGTACCTGGTTAACAGTATTTCTAGTTCGCGCGCGCGGGGCGGCCCCTGCGGGTCCCCGGGCGAAAAGTACCCCGGCAAGGTCCCGGCAAGTCCCCGGCAAGTCCCCGGCAAGGTCGGGTCAGAGATGCCGGAGTTCTGTTGCGGAGTCCAAGAGGGCTCCAGATCGGTCCAAGAGGGCCCCGAGAGGTTTCTAGACGGTCCAAGAGAGGCCCGAGAAGGCCAAAGATCGCCCGAAGACGCCCCAGATGGCCCCAAGACAGCCCAAGAGGCCTCCAAGACGCTCCAAGGGCCTTCCAAGAGGCCTCCGAAGAGGGCCCCAAGTTGCCAAAATCGTTGATTTTCATTGTTTTTTCGATGTTTTTTTGCGTTCTGGCCTTTTCGCTTCCGGACGCTCCAAGAGGGCCCAAGAGGCCTTCAAGACTGCTCCAAGACGGCCCACGAGGCTCCCAAGACGGCCCCGGAGCGGCCCAAGAGCGCCCCCCAGACGGCCCAAGTGCTGCCCAAGGCGGACCAAGAGGCCCCAAGACGGGCCCAAGAGGGGCTCAAGAAGGGAACCGAGAACTGAAAAATCGAGCCCTCCGCCCCAGAAGGCGCCCAGGACCCCGAAAGAGGCCCCAAGAGACTCTCCAAGACACCCCCAAGACGCCCCAATAAGCTCCCGTGAGGCCCCAAGAGGACCAACAACGTCAGGCCCCAGGCCCGAAGAGGACCACCAATACTGCCAAGAGCCCGCCGAAAGCCCCCCAAGAGACCGTCACGAGAGCTCAGGAGGCCCCCTGGAGGCCTCCCGAGTTCTCCAAGAGGCCTAAAAAGAGGCGCCAAGAGGCCCCAAACGGCCCCACCGAGGCTCCAAGAGGCCACGAACGCGCAAGCAAACGCCTGCGATGGCACAATACGGGCCGGCGGAATGAGCGAAGCGATTAAATATGTGATACAATACATGTCATGTGCAATATATGTGGTGTAATCGACGTGGTGCAATGGGTGTGGAGTTGCCGATGTGGTGCAATACATGTGGCACAATATATGCAGTGCAGTCGACGGGATGCAACCTATATGGTGCAATATACGTTGTGCAGTCGATGGTGTGCAATCGCCGTGGAGCGAAATAGGTGGTGCAATCTATGTGGTGCAATCTGGGTTGCGCAATCTATTTTGTGAATATACGTGGTGCAGTCGACGCGGTGCAATATGTGTGATGTGCAACATTTGTCACACTGACCACACACACCCCACCTCAATGCGAGAGATGCGGTGCGGCATGGGTGGCGCAATACATGTGGTACCATCTATTCGGTGCAGTCTTTAAGTGGTGCACTCTATGCCGTGCAATGTATGTTGTACCTATGAGTGGTGCAATCTATGCTGTGCAATCAGTCACTTGCTCAACTTGAAGCTGTCCTCTCCACTGCTCGCGAAAACATCCCACCCTCCCACCCGCAACTTGGTTTGCAAAACCTCTTAAGACCGACTACGACGACACCGACGACAACGACGACGACGAAACCGACGACGTCTCCGACGACTTCGACGACGACAACGACGCCGACGCCGACGACGACGAAGACGACGACGACGACGCCAACGAAGGCGACGACGAGGGAGGAGGAAGGACGGCGACGGCGACAACGACGACAACGACGACAACGACGACAACGACGAGGGAGGAGGGAGGACGGCGACGACGCGAACGACGACGAAGGAGGAAGGACGGCGACGCCGACGACGACAACGACGAGGGAGCAGGGAAGACGGCGACGACAACGACGACGACGACGGTGACGAAATAGAACCGACGACGAGACGCCGACGACGGACGACGACGACGACGTGGGAGGAGGAGGACGGACGACCACGGCGACAACGACGACGGAAACGACCACGACGCCAAAGAGGACGACGACGACGAACACGAGAAAAGACAGAGGACGACGTAGGCGACGACGACGACGACGCGGGAGGAGGGAGGACGGCGACGACGACGACGACGACGACGACGACGACGACGACGCAAGCGCGCGCGCACGCTTTTGTTGAAAATCCGTGTTGCGAAACCTTGGGTTTTTGTAGGTTTTTTGGACGCACGATTTTGAAATCCTTCCGAAACCGATGGGTTTTGAAGGTTTTCGGCATACGCCCGCGACGACGCGCGCGTCTGCACTTCGTCCCCATTTTTTGCAGAGGATTCTCGCGACGGCACACGCGCAAGGGCGTTCGACAGATTTCGACATGCGCGCGCGAAGCCCGTTTGGTAGCATTTTATGAAAATCTTGAAAAACCTATGGTTTTCTTAAGATTTCGCAAGAGCTCGCGCGGAAGCTTTTTTAGCAAATCAGTGTTGCGAAACCCTGTGTTGTTGTATGTGTTTTGGAAACTCGATTGCGAAATCCTTCCCGCACCGAAGGTTTTTGAAGGATTTCGGCATGCGCGCGCGACGACGCGCGCGTGTGCACTTCGTCCCATCTTTTGCAAGGGATTCGTGAAAAAGTGCGATGTTAGAACAAGAAATGTCACCGCATAGTGTTTTTCCACAAGGGAACCTCAGGGGGGGGGACCCGGCCTGGCTGGGATGGTATATTTCAAATTTAGGACGGACGAGTGGTCAGAATCATATATGATTTACATACCCGAAAGGGGAACGGATAAGTCCGGGGGGGTAGAGTCTATTATCCTTTTAGAGAGGGGAATATATGTGGGTCGGTCTATGTGCAACATAGGCGGCGACGGGGCGGCGACGAGGCGGCGACAGCGACCACGGCGCCGCCAGACCGCCACCCAGGTCCAGACGACGGGCGGCGACGAGGCGGCGGCGGGGTGGCGACGGCGGCGACGCACATAGCCGCCAGACCGAAGACACGGCCCAGACGACGGGCGGCGACGAGTAGGCGACGGGACGGCGACGGCGGCCACATAGCCGCCAGACCGAAGACGCGGCCTGGTTCCTTCGAAGACAGAAGTAAGAACCCCTAAGTGCAAGCAACGATTGGGGAATTACAGGATCCGGAACACGTGTACTGTTCAACCCCTGGACAAGACTACGCAATTGGTCCCGCAAGAACCGACAAGGGCTGGCGTGCAATAACGGAATGCAAAAGAACGCTACAGTGGAGGACAGTCCACAAGAAACCCCCCACAAGAAACCAAACCCTGAGAACCCAGGACGTCCATGGATTTGGGGCGTGGGAACATCGCGCCTTCCATCGCAAAACCATCGAGACCCAAGAAACCCAGGGCACCCTGGAAGCAAGCAGGATGTTTCTTGGCATGGGCCTCTTCTGTACATGCGACCCGCCTCCAAAAGGCGCCCCGAGCCCGCCCAGCGGGGCGCCCAGGCCGCCGCCCAGCGGGGCGCCCAGGCCGCCGCCCAGCGGGGCGCCCAAGCCGCCGCCCAGCGGAGCGCCCAGGCCGCCGCCCAGCGGGGCGCCCAGGCCGCCGCCCAGCGGGGCGCCCAGGCCGCCGCCCAGCGGGGCGCCCAGGCCGCCGCCCAGCGGAGCGCCCAGGCCGCCGCCCAGCGCGGCGCCCAGGCCGCCGCCCAGCGTGGCGCCCAGACCGCCGCCCAGATGGCCTTGCGGTTTACTCAGAGCCGTTGCTCCTGCTCCTCCTCCTCCTCCTGCTCCTCCTGCTCCTCCCCCTCCTCCTCCTCCTCCTCCTCCTCCTCCTCCTCCTCCTCCTCCTCCCTCCTCCTCCTCCTCCTCCTCCTCCTCCTCCTCCTCCTCCTCCTCATCTCCCGCCTCCGCCTCCGGCCTCCGCCTCCGCCTCCGCCCTCCGCGCCGGCCTCCGCCGCCGCCTCCGCCTCCGCTCCCTCCTCCCCCGCCTCGCCTCCCTCCTCCTCCTCCTCCTCCTCCTCCTCCTCCTCCTCCTCCTCCTCCTCCTCCTCCCCCTCCTCCTCCTCATCCTCCTCCTCCTCCTCAAGGTAGGCTTCGGACGAAGGAGTCTGCAAGGAAGGGCGAGGGAGGCTATCCTCCACGTGGGTGGCACGCGTTTCATCACGCCCTCATCCCACACGACGGGCTCGGGTACGTGCGAAGGTCCTGGGGCCCTGAAGCAGCCCCTGAAAGCAGGGATTGTGGAAACCACTGCCGTCCAGCGCTCGTCGGGGCGAGGAGGTGGCGTCGCGTAGGCCACCAGGCAGGGAACGCGCGCCCGCGCGGCCGATTGGTGGCTAGCGGAGCAGCACGCGATACGCTGCGGGAGGCGACTGAAGCGGCCCAGCGGCACCAGCGGCAAGCGCAGCAACCTTCACACATTCGCGCCTCCCCGCCAGAGAAAGGCAGCCCCCTCCGCGGGGGGGGGGGGGGCAAAGCGGGCCCAAGGCCAGGTCGCCGCTGACGCCGCCCGCCCACGCAAAGAGAGTTCGCCGCAGCCGCCGTCGCCACCGCCGTCTTGCGTCTCCACGCGACGTACCACGGGTGACACAACAACACATCGCGAATCGAAACGTCGCTCGGCAAACCAGGAACACCGCACAGCCGACCTGCAATGGCCAAGCTCATGCTACGAGCCGCGGCCCGAACAACAAATCGACAGTGCAGGTGCGCCAGGAAGGAGGGGGGCGAGGGCAGAGGAGAGGGAGCACAAGGAGGAAGCGCCACCGCCGTCGTCGAGTCCTTGCCATCGCCGCCGCCGCGCTCCTCCTCGGCCGGCCAGCGGCGCACCCCTCGACGTCGCCAGACGGTCGCAGGTCGCAGGTCGGGACAGTCGCCGTCGTCGTCGTCGTCGTCGTCGTCGTCGTCGTCGTCGTTGTCGTCGTCGTCGTCGTCGTCTTCGTCGTCGTCGTCGTCGTCGTCGTCGTCGTCGTCGTCGCGCGCGCGCGCCGCGGATGAGGGCCGAACCTGGCCGAGCGGTGGGACCCCTGCGCGCCGCCTCGGCCGCCCCCTCGTTGGACGAGCGCGCTCCACTGCTCGCAGAGTGACTGCTCGCAAATGACCTGGATCCGCCGAGGGGGATTTACGGCAAAATCGCATCGCGGCAGGCCTGTGAGTAGGCACTCTGCGAGTAGGCACTCTGCGAGCAGTGGAACGCGCTCGGTGGCTCGTGGCGCGCACGTGCCGCCGCCGCCGCCGATGCGGCGCGCGCCTGCGGCCGCACGGGACGCATGCCGGGGCGCAGGTCCTCGCGCTCGCCATCTCGTGTCCCCTCGATGGCCGCCCGCGTCGTCGCCGCCGCCGTCGCCGCCTCGCGGCGCTGCCGCCGTCGCCGTGTTCGCGTGCCGCCCTTGGTCGGTCCCCCTGCGCCCAGAGCTCCGTCTGTGCTCTATGACAGCACTGGGCAGAGCCAGCTGGATCAGAACGGTGCCAGGTGCATGCACTATACGGTGCTGCAGCCACGGCAAGCGCGACTTGCATTCTTCGTCAAAACAGTGACTGACGCCTACACGACCCTAACCCTTCTCCTCCTCCTCCTCCTCCTCCTCCTCCTCCTCCTCCTCCCCCTCCTCCTCCTCCTCCTCCTCCTCCTCCTCCTCCTCCTCCTCCTCCTCCTCCCCCGTCCCTCCTCATCCTAAAAAATCAGCAGCTTCACGGATGGAGGGCGGATGGTTTTCAGAATTTGGTTCTCGCCTTAGCGCCGCGCACAGTCGTCTTCAAATGCTTCAGGCCTTTCACTGGTAGAGAGCGGATTTTCTCGTTTTAGCATCGCGCGCGTTCGTTTTTTTTTATGGCAAGAATTTCATAGATGGAGGGCGGTCCGTTTCCAAAACGTGACTCTCGCCCTAGCGCCGCGCACATTCACCTTACAGTTCGCAAGAGCTACACGGATGGAGGGAGGTCCCTGTTCAAAATGCGGCTCTCGCCTGAGCGCCGCCCGCGCACGTTCGTTTTGAGGGCTTGCAGCAGCTTCAAGGTTTATCATTGTTAACATCCCAAATATGGTGTTTTGACACGATGTTAGAATGTCAGGGCGCAACGATCACAGTGATTCCCGGTGTAGTAGTCCCAGGAGTTGTGTACTGGCACGATTCAGGATCGTCAAGACGCAACAGTGACGGTGCTTCGAGGCGTTGAAGTCCCAAGAATGGTGTTCTGATACAGTTCCCGATGATCAAACGGTTCTCTTCAAATGGGGTACTTCCCTCAATGAAAATAAACTTGTGTATGGGGCCTATCAAGCGGGAAATTGGAGGGAGGGTCTCCTCCCTCTCCTCTTCCTCCTCCTCCTCCTCCACCTCCTCCGCCTCCTCCTCCTCTTCCTCCTCCTGCCTCCTCCTCCTCCTCCTCCTCCTCCTCCTCCTCCTCCTCAAACACCCTCCTCAAACACACTCTCGGCTCAAGCCAGGTTCGGCTCGAGCGAGCCGATTAGCTGCCTGCACCGTGATGCCCCAGGGCTGCACCATACGCGCTGCTCCAGGGCCCCCCAGGCGGCGCTGGCGCCGCCGCCGAGGACGCCGCCGGCGACGCCGCTGGCGCCAGCGACCCCTCGGCGGAGTGCGGCGGCGCGGCCGAGGCCTGCGACCGCGGCCGCGGCGGCGGCGACGAGGGCGGCGAGGGCAAGACGACGACGGCGGCGGCGAGGGCGGCAAGGGCGAAGACGGCGGCAGCGCCGCCGCCTAGGTACCGGAGGGTAGGAGGAGAAGGAAGAGGAGGAGGAAGAGGAGGAAAAGGAGGAGGAGGAGGAGGAGGAGGAGGAAGAGGGAGGAGAAAGAGGAAGAAGAGCAGGAGAGGAAGAAAAACGACGAGGACGCGACCGACGACTGCAAAGGCGACAACGAAGGCGGCGGCGACGCCGACAAGGGCGAACCGAGCAATTGGCCTGCACACGGGTGCGACTGCACTTCAGGAGCGACGAGGGCGGCGGCGACGAGGGCGACGGCGGCGACGACGGCGGCGACGGCGATGCTGGCGACGGCGACGATGGTGCTGAGGACGGCGACGGGGCAATAAACAACGACGACGACGACGACGACGACGACGACGACGACGACGACGACGGCGCCATCAGCAGCGGTAGCATCAGCATCGGCAGCATCAGCATCGGCAGCGTCAGCACTAGCATCCTCAGCATCGCCAGCCTCGAAAACACTGGTTTCCAGCCCTAAGCGTCGCGGTCCCTGGCGATGGCGACAGGGCGACGACGACGACGACGACGACGACCACGCCTCAACGTGCAAGGGGGAGAAGGAGGAGAAGAAGGAGAAGGAGGAGGAGGAGGAGGAAAAAGGAGGGGGAAGGAGAGAGATGATGAGGTGAAGGAAGAAGGAGAGGGAGAAGTGATGAGGAAAAGGAGAAGGAGGAGGAGGAGGAGGAGGATGAGAGGAGGAGGGAGGAAGAGAAGAAAAGGGGGAGGGAAGAAGGGAGGGAAGGCCCTCCGCTTTCCTTCATCCCCACTCCGTCCATAATTTGTCCCCTCCTCCTCCTCCTCCTCCTCATCATCATCATCATCATCATCATAATCATCATCATCATCATCATCAGCAGCAGCATCAGCATCAGCATCAGTATCATCGTCATCATCATCATCATCATCATCATCATCAGCATCATCATCATCAGCAGCATCATCGTCATCATCATCATCATCAGCAGCAGCAGCAGCATCATCATTCCTCTTCTGTCATAATTCGTAGTCGTCCTCCTCCTCCTCCGCCTCATCGTCCTTGTGGCGGTGGCGGATTCCTGGCCATCCCCCGCAAGAACCTCCTAGAACCACGAACTACAAACGACAGACGGCGATGGCAACTACCGACGAACAAGAAACGGCGTCGCCGACGAGAAACGGTCGCAACTATCGAGCAATATCCCAAACCCGAATAAAATCTAGACAGGCCACAAGAACCAGCCGCAAAATATCAGAAACCTACGACGAAGGGCGAATGACGATTGACGACGACGGCGACGACGGCGAAGAACAGCGACGACATAAGACGACGGCAGCACATTACGAACGACGAGCTTCGACGCCGAGAACGACGACGACGCAGGACAGCGACCAACGACGAACGGCGCACGAGGACGAACGGCGAACAACGGCGATCGACGAATGGTGAACGACAAACGACGGCGAACGGCAAACGACGAACGACGAACGATGAACGACGAACGACGAACAACGACGACGACGACGACGACGACGACGACGACGACGACGACGACGACGAACGACGACGGCCGACGAGCGACGACGACGGACGACGAGGGACGAGCGACTGACCACGAGCGACGACCGGCTAACCACGAATGACGACGGTGGACGACAAGAGCCGAGCGGCCTGCGGCTGCAGCAGCCGCTCGTGCGGCTGCGGGGGGGGAGGCGGCGGCTGCTGCCCGGCCCCAGGGTCGGCGGCACCCCTGCGGCCGGCCCGCGGAGGCCGCCGTCCGTCGTCGTTGTCGCCGATCGAACTGTCGCCGTCGCCGTCGCCGCCGTCATCGTCGTTGGTGCGTCGTCGTCGCCGCCGTCGCCGCTCTCGTCGCCGTCGTGGTCGCCGCCGTCGTGACCGCCAGCTGCCTCGTCGTCGTTGGCCTCGGCCTCGGTCGGGGGATCGGGAGGAACAACTGGTCGTGGGTTCGTGTGGTCTCGTCGCGCCTGCTGTGGCCGTCCTGGGCCGTCTTGGAAAGAATGGCCCAAGGTGGTGCCTTGGCTGGGAATCGACGGGAGGGGCTCGCCCGCCTTGTGAGGGGAAGTCCTTTTCCCCGGAAACATGGACCGAAGCCGGAAGATCGGAGGATTGTCGTTCGATCGAGCTGGCAATCGGGGAGAGAACAAAAAGGCGCCGTGCCAGGCGTCGGGGGCCCGCTTCGGGCTCCAAGGCCGTCGGGGATCGCCCCACGGCAAGCAGATCGCGGGGGTGAACCTCGGGACGAGCTCGGGGACCGAATCTTGAACGCAGCTGGGATCGGTCGTCGTCGTCGTCGCCGGCGGCGCCGTCGTTGTCATCGTCGTCCGTCGCCGTCGCCGTCGCCGTCGCCGACGTCGTCGACACCGCCGTCGTCCGTCGATCATACCGTCGCCGCTCGCCGTCATTCGTCAACGCCTCGTCGTCGTCCGTGCCTGTCGCCGTCGCCGTCGCCTTCGTCGACACCGCCGTCGTCGATGTCGTGGTCAGCGTTGTCCGCCGATCGCTGACGTCGTCGCTCGCGTCCCTCACTCAACATTATTCATTTGTCGTCGCTTTTGTTTTTCTCGTCGTCTGTGATATCGTCAATGTCGTTGTCTTCGTCGTCTTACGTCGTTCGCGATCGCTGCGAAGGCGCCTCCTGGCCGCCGTCGTCGTCGTCGGACGGGAATGGGGGTGGACGAGAGGGAGGAGGACGAGAGGGAAAAGGACGAGGCGGAAAGAAAAGGAAAACGGCGGGGGGGGATGGCGGAGGAAGGAGGGGCCATCATCACCTGTTCGCCTTCCTCCCCCATCCCCACCCTCTTTTTAGCATTTTGCAGACTCGCCATGGGAGTCGGTCATTGCCTTGATTATGTTGATAGGCTTTTCGCCCGGATACTCTGGCGGGTCATATTGACTAGCGGCCCCAAGTTGAATATCGGAAAGGATGTGCTTGACGCCATGGCCAGGGTGCCCGTTAAGCGACTCTACCGCATGTGGATAGCGCGCACGTTAGCCGGCCGGCCGACTGGAGGGAGGGCGCGCGCGAGTTTTCATCCCGACCGCAGAAATCGCTGCGCCGAGATCAGTGATCACGTCACGCGATTCACGGCGCAGCCAACCCTCAGTTGGAGGGCAGTGGCGGCGCGGCACAAGCTAGCCAGGGGAGCCTTAATGACGATTCCCCCCGCGGCCTGCCTGGCGCGGACTCCGCGCGCGGGCGGACGTCAGCCTTTAGCTGGCGCCCCAAGCGGCGGCGGGACGCACCAGCCCGAGTTCGGCACGCCCCGAGGGCCCGAAATCAGACTTCACCCCTTCCCATGGCACTTCGGTACCCGCGGCGCCAACCCCAACAAGATTCTACAGCGCGCGCGGAAGGGGGGGGCACTCCTGACATAACCCATGAGTACAAGCTGAGACAGGTCCGCGAGCTTCGCGTGGACATGAGCGCGCCAGCGCACGCCGCCCAGCGAGCGGCCCACAAGGCCATCGCAGCCCGCCGCCACGCCGCGGCACACTCCAGAACGCTCGGGGCACAGCTCCAACACGTCCAGAGAACAATCTGAGCACAGCTCAGACATGCCCCCATCCCCTCTCCTCACCAGCGCCGGCCCTCGCCCCTCTGGTCATCGCGGCCCCGGCCGCTGCGCCAGCCACGCCATCTGCCCGAGCCCCATCCTGAGCTTCTTGACGGCAAGCGGCTCTGCGAGCCCTGGCGTCGCGGAGGGCGCGAATCCTCCGCCTCCTCCGCAGCCCTCAATCGGACGTCCGCGCGCCGGCGCCTCCTCGCCGCGGGCCCTGGAGCAGAACTCGACGACGCTGCCGCCGACAGGTTCGGGGTGACCCTCCGAGAGCGTCGGCCCCGCATCTCGGCGACGCGCGAAAGCCCGCCGATTTTGCTGCCCCTGACCTCCACGACGCTTCCCCCCTTCATCTCTGGCGCCTCCTTGCCCTTCGCCTCCCATGGACGCGCGCGCCGTCGGCGGGCGGCCCCACCGCCGGGTCGACGAAGGGGGCCCCCCGCCCTGTTTGCCACGAAGGACAAGGTCCCCGGCGCCGCCGACGCAGTCGGCAGGCGCCGGGCCCCCTTCCTCAGCCGCTGCAGCGTTGACATCTTCCAGCGGCCCCCCAAATGCTGTTCCGGCTTCTCTTTTCCATATTCGTCGTCAGATCCGCGGGCGTCGGGAACAGCTCAGGGCGACAGACTTCGACGAGCCACTGCTCCCAGCAATCCGACGGTTCGTCTGCCTCGATGTCCTCAGGGCGCGAGTCGCCCCAGTCGAACGGCTCGCGGGGAAAGTAATCCTGCCGTTGATGGGCCAGCTTCCAGCTGATGCATGTCCACCAGACCCTCGCGTGGACGACTGCGCCTGGGCCCGTGGCCAGAATGCCGCACAGTGCCGGCGCGCCTGGAATTTGATCCAGCGCTTCCCCAACTTTTGCGCCTTCGTCCGTCGGCGGGCGTTCCGATCGTCAGGCGCCGCGTCTTCCGGAAACGTCAGACGCCAAGCGAAGGTAGCCACGAGGTCGCGCCGACACGCCGCCTGGCCCTGCAGGGCCTGTCTGCGGCGGAACGCAGCTCTTTGGGCGTCGGGCCGGGCCCGCTGGTCCTGCCATTGCTTGACCCCTCTATCCGAAGCCAAGCCTGGAAGGCCAACCCTCGTGGCCCCGTGGCCCAGGCTCCTGGTCGATTGCCCATGCGATCACTTTGGCCATTGCTATGTCTCGCCACCGATGCGCCCGGGTCATCACATTGGGCGCCCGTGCTTCCAAGCGGTTTCTGCATGCCCCGCAGCAGACGAGATAACCACCGTCCCGCGGTGGGGGCACGAGCAGCTTCGCCCTGAACTCCGCGGGCGCGAAGGCGTCGTCGTCGTCGCCACCGACTCGATGGAGAGACAGATGTGGTTTAATTCAGTCGATACAGCCTGACCCTGGCTTCTGATCATTCTGACGCCGTGGAACCGCAAGAGATCAGGGTCCACGAGGCTGTCGGAGACACAGCGCCAACGATGACTCGAAAAATCTGACGCGAGTCACTCCAGTCTGGACAGAACTCCGCGGCAACTGAGCAATCCGGAAGAGTCCAGAACGCAGTCGTGTCAAAGTTTCGGGACGCGAACATCATGATGCACGAAACTGTTAACCTACGCGAAACCTCCAGGTTAAAGACGACCGCATCAAGACCCCGTGCGCCGTAATCCCTCGGCCACCCGTCCGGCCCAACCCAACGCGGGAGTTTTTCGGGACCCTCTCCGCGCTTCATCAAGGCCACGACGGACCGTTGGCTCTCTGAGTGCGAAGGACGTTGAAACAATTGCTTGTACTGGGGCGTCCCACTGAGGGCAGCGCCCAAGCGGCCGCTGGCGAGGCGCCAGCAGCAGCAGCAGCTGCGGCAGCAGCTGCGGCAGCACCAGGCAGCAGCTGCACGCCACCAGCTGCACAGCCGCCGCCCGGGGGCGGGCAGCAGCGGTGGCAGCAGAGCCGCCGCCCAGGCCCGGCGGCCCAGCCCGGTGGGCGGCGGCCAGGCGCCGCCGCCGCCCGGAGGCGCCCGACAGGCCGCCAGCAGGCAGCCTGGACACGGCGCACGGAAGGGGGGCCCGGACGGGAGAGGCCCTCTGCCGGCCCCCACCGGCCAGCAGGGCGCCTGGGCCGACCGCCCCACGGCAGCGGCTGCTGCGGCCCGCTCGAGCCAAAGCGGCTCGAGCCAGACGCGTGAGCCAGGCTTGAGCCCGAGCTGCTGAAGAAGCGCCGCGCAAATGCCATCTCTGAGAGATTCGCAAGTGTGTTACAGGATGAGGACGGCTCCTTTTCCAGATGCAGTTTTCGCCTTGGCGCCGCGCACACTCGTCTCAAGTGTTGCATGAATATTATGTTATGTGCGTGGCCAAGTTTCAAAATGTGGCTCTCGCCCTAGCGCCGCATGGAAGGAGGGTTCATTCCAACATCGTTGATGACTCTTGAATTTGCGTTGGTCCTCCTCTTCCTCCTCCTTTTCCTCCTCCTCCTCCTCTTCGTCCTCCTCCTCCACTCCCCCAACCAATCCATACGAGCAAACTGTGCGAGATTGGAACCAATAGTTCTTGCTCGGTACTGACCAATTGTATGTTTAAACCGCCAGGAAAGCCAACCCGGCTTCAAGGTCGAGCCAAAAATGATTTCATAAGCCTGTAGCGACAGCAGACCACCACTTACCACAGCAAGCAGCCAATCAGCTTCGAACAGGGAAGCCAGAACCTGTCGTAATGGCGGCCGGGGCTTTAGAGCTGGTGCACAGGAAAGCCTGATAGCGTGGGAACGAGCGACGGCGCAATGCTGCGCCAGCTCACGCCTGCAACGGGCCTACTCCGCTCTTCCACCCTTCTCCTCCAACGTCCATCCCTCCTCCCCCCGCCGCGTTTCACGACGATCGACGAACGACCTCATACGACTACGACAGCGACTAAAGCGGCAACGAAGGTGACGAAATTGAGGCCACGACGCAGACGACCGCGGCCGCGAACTCGGACGACGAAGGCGGCGAACGAAGCCGACGACGACCTGTGACGACGAACGGCGACGAGGACGAGCGAGACCGACGGCGAACTCAAGGACCGAAGGGGACGCCGACTCGCGAGGCGGTCCGCCCCACCCAGCGGCTCTGGGCCTGTCTGTCTCCGCCGGCCACGGGGCCTGACAAAGCGGACAGAAAGGGAGGGGGCGCGGGGGGCGGGGAAGGAGGGGCAAAAAGGGTGGAAGGGAGGCTGGGGGCAGAGATGGAAAAGGAAGGCGGATGGTGGGGGGAGGGGAGGAGGGAAGGAGGGGAAAGAGGGAAAGAGGGAGGGAGGAAGGGAGGAGGCAAAGAGGAGGGAGAACGGAAGGAGGAAGAAAACTGTGAGGAGCGGGGGGGGGTGAGGAGGACGAGCGAGCGTCGGAAAGCGCGGTGCCGCACTCTCCCCCGCGCGCGGCCGCGGCCGTGCGCCGGAGCCCGCCGCAGGCGAGCGCGCCCGAGGCTCTGGTCGCTGCCGCCGATCACCTCCAGGCGACTGGCCACCTTGGCATGCGCGGCTGGGGCCACGACCATGGCCAGCCTGGTGACCACGGCCTTGCCCTTGGCAGGCGACACGCCGCACAAATGCGCGAAGCTGCAGCCCCGTGCCAACCCCGCAGCCGCGCGCGACACGCATGCGACCACGGGCATCTCGCGGATGAGGTCGGCATCCTTCTGCGGCAGGGCTTTCACCAGGCAGTGAGACCTCGCACCCGCCGCCCTCAGCTTGTCTTCGGCCTCGAAGGTCGCAGCAACGATCGATCCCAGGTACTCGCTGTTTCGCTGTCCACCTGCAGCGCGAAGACCACCGCCTGCCCTCAGGTCCTCGGAGCTCGGACTCCAGCCTGGTCGCCACCTGTACCAGAGACGCCTTGGCCGCAGGCTTGTTGGGCTTGGCGACTCGGGGTGCGGTGTCGTTCCCGCCCAGCGCGCCGACCACCGCCGAGATCCACGCGCCCACGCCGTCGACCATCTCGCTGGCAACAGCTAGCTTTTGTCTCGCAGCAGGCGGCAAGAAACCATGCGCAGCAGCACTCTTCACGACCTTGTCGGCGAGCTGGTTGCCGCACCACTCACCGCAGTTGTCGTGGCCACCGTCGACCACAGACCGCCCATACTGGTGAGCATGCACTTCCGCACCGCGAGGCCAACCTCGCACGAGCCGCCGAGCTCGCCCAGGAGCTTCCACACCTCGCGCCACAGGTGCAAGCACGCGTAGCCGAAGCTCGTAATCTTGGCGCGCCCGTGCTCCCTGAGGCCCGGGAACACGAAGCTGCTGTCCACAACCAGAGTGACATGCGGCACCGCGAACCGCAGCACCGCCAGCAGCGCCGACAGCTCACCGCGGCGGATGTCCACGAAGGCCTCGCACTCCACGACGGAGATGCCCATCATGAGCTCCTCGGCGTCGGCCGAAGGGGCACTGACCGCCCAGGCAACACTCGCGCACGTGCAGACGTCACCCCCGCACGCTGAGCCGTCCAGGAACAGCTTTCCCATCGGCAACTGGCAATCAAGTCGGCCCATCCATCATACCTATGGCGCCCGAGCTGGCAGCACCAGGCCCGCTGGCGCTGGCCACAGCGCTTTCTCGTTTAACACTTGCACCTTAGGCAGGCCGGCTCTCATCAGCAGGTCGCGCAGCTTGCCGGGTAGCTGGAGCACGTCGGGCCAACCATTACAACAGCAGTGTCTGTGGAGGTGCGTGCCCACCTCGCCGCAGAGGCGGCACTTGTCGCCGAGGGCCATGCCACACTTGTACCTGCGGTTCTGCGGCCGCGGGCCGTCGACGATGATGAATCGCCCATCTCCTGGGCATGAGACGCACCGCTGAACCAGCTCCAGCAGCCAACGACGAGGACCGCTGCCCAGCGGTTCTGACATTCCTAGCAACACACGTGACGACGCCGACTGCTGGCCAGCAGACTCTGACAGTCCGAGTTCAGCAAACTTTGGCGACTCTGGCCGCTGGGCAGCAGGTTCTGACGCCTGCGCGTGACGGCCAGCACACACAATTGCGCCCAACAGTGCCCGACCTCGTCACGCGCACCGGCGGGTCAAGCACGCCTCAATACGCGAGATGTTCGAGCCCAGATCGCCTGATGACATGAACCCACTGCCAGGTCTCGACGGATCACCACAGAAGCCGCTTCAGTATCCACGGCGCAACGTCGAAGACTCCGATGTCGACTCCCTCGTGCGTCCTCCAGGTTTTGCTGTCCTCGATGACCCAGCCTACTCTCTGGAGCGACACGCGCACCGCCGAAAAAAACCACGCACCTGGCAACTGCTGAAGGCGAGGCACTGGCAGCCCGAACCCGATGACGTGCTGGGAAATCCACTGCTCCCACGCCGCCCACAGCAGTGTCATGCTGGGCAGAACCGTGGCACGGAACATGGGGTCCAGGAGCGGCGCGAGCATGAGCGCAAGCAGTCTCGGCCTGCCTGCCACTCTGGGGGGGGGCTTACTGCTGCGAAGATCACCGACCTGAGCTTGCCGGGCGAGGAAACGAAATGTGAACCATACGCCCTAGGGCGCGTCGGCGCGGCTCAGGCGAGCACGAAAGACTGGTCGATCAGAAAGCACGCGAACTCCATCCTCACCACATACTCGAACAGCGTGCGGATGTCCGCACGTTGCCGGGCGAAGAGGAGGGTGGAGAAGAGAATCGGGAGGAGGAGAGACCAAGACTCCTTCCTCTCCCGCCTCCCCTCTTCCTCACTATCCCGCCCTCCATCCCGCCATCGCCATCCCCACCCCCTTCCCTCCGGTCCGAACCCCCGCCATCGCCATCCCTGCCTCCCCTTTCTTTCCTGCACACCATCTACTCACAGTACTCCCCTCCTTCGCCTCCCTGGCAAGGCTTGTCCCCGCCCTCCCCAGATCTTCCGGGGTCGAGGAAATAACGACGGGCAAACCCCCCCAACCCGATGTCGGCCTCCCTCCCCCTCCTCCTCCTCCTCCTCCCCTCCTCCTCCCCTCCTCCTCGTCCCTCCTCCCCTCCTCCCTCCTCCTCTCCTCCCCCCCTCCTCCTCCTCCTCCCGCTCCTCCTACTCCTACTTCTCCTCTTCCTCCTCCTCCTCCAGCTCCTCCTCCTCCTCTTCCTCCTCTTCCTCCTCTTCCTCCACCGCCTCCTCTTCGCCCTCCTCCTCTTCCTCCGCCTCCTCCTCCTCAGCCTCTTCGTCGTCCTCCTCCTAAGCAGCAGCAGCGTTATCGTCATCATGCTGGTCAGTGTCGTCACCAGCATCGTCAGAATCAGCATCATCAGCAGCATCGCCATCGTCGTCATCACAGTCGTCGTCACCACCACAACCACCGCCAGGACCACCACCACCACCACCGCCATGAGCACATGTACCCTCCTCCTCCTCCTCCTCCTCCTCCTCCTCCTCCTCCTCCTCCTCTGCCTCCTCCTCCTCCTCCTCGTCGTCGTCAATATCACCATCGCTGTCAGCATCACCATCACCAACAGATTCATGGTCCTCATTACCAGCCTCATCCCCACCACCACGGCCAGCATCATCTTCGGCATCAGCAGCAGCATCCTTGTCGTCGTCGTCGGCATCATCAGCGTCATCGGCAGCACAATCAGCATCAGCGTCAGCAGCGTCACCATCATCATCATCATCATCATCATCATCATCAGCAGCAGCAGCAGCAGCAGCGACATCATCATCATCATCATCATCATCATCATCATCATCATCATCATCATCAGCAGCAGCATCATCATCATCAGCATCAGCATCAACATCATAATCATCATCATCACAATCATCACCATCATCATCACCAGCATGATCAGCATCATCAACAGTATACTCATCATCAGCATGTCCATCATTATCCGCATCATCATCCTCATCAGCATCCTCATCAGTAGCATCAACATCATCAGCATCAGCATCAACAGCATCAGCTTCATCAACGTCATCATCATCAACAGCAGCATCATCAGCATCAGTAGCACCATCACCATCAGCATCCTCAGCATCAGCAGCATTGTCATGATCATAATCAGCATCGACACCACAATCATCATCGTCATCATCATCAGCAGCATCATCATCGTCATTATCTTCATCGTCAGCATCATCGCCATCACCAGCAACAGCGGCACCAGCATCATAAGCAGCAGAAGCAGCGTCAGCATCATCATCAGCCACATCGTCAGATCCACCGCCATCGGCAGCAGCAGCAACCTCATCAGCCTACACAGCATCATCATCGACAGCAGCAGCATCATCATCCTCATCACCATCAACAACGGCAACATCAGCATAATCAGCATCAGCTGTATCCTCACAAACATGCGCATTCTTATCAGCAGGCTCATCATCATAACCACAGCGTGCATAATTCGCCGGCCCAACGGGCCAGAGGCGTGCTAAGATCTCGGGTAACTACTTAACAATATTTCTAGTTCGCGCGCGCGGGGCGGCCCCTGGGGGGCCCCAGACGAAAAGTACCCGGGCCGATCCCCAGCTGACCCCCGGGCGATCCCCAGGGGGGAGGCTATTCTTCGCCACCCCTCACGAGGATCGTGGCCTCCGAGTGGGGGGCTGCCAACGACTACCCCCCCCAATACGCCGCCAAGGAGCCCCAAGACGCTCCCAAGAAGCCCCCAAGAAGCCCCAAAGATGGCCCCAAGAGGCCCCAAATAGCGCACCAGTGCCGGCGGAATGAGCGAAGCGATTAATCGGTAACAGCACCAGCAGCAGCATCATCCTCATCACCACCATCACCATCATCATTAACATCACCATCATCACCATCATCATCATCATCATCATCATCATCATCATCAGCAGCAGCAGCAGCAGCAGCATCATGAAATTCTTCATCACCATCAGCATCAGCATCAGCATCAGCTTCAGCATCATCATCATCATCATCATCACCACCATCATCATCATCATCATCATCATCATCATCATCATCATCATCATCATCGTCATCATCACCATCATCATCATCATCATCAGCAGCATACTCATCATCGCTGTCAGCGTCACCATCACCAATATCATCAGCATCATCATCATCAGCATCACCATCATCATCAGCATCGGCATCATCGTCATCGTCAGCATCAGCATCGTCATCATCATTGTCGTCATCATCATCATCATCATCATCATCATCGTCATCATCATCATCAGCATCATCATCATCATCATCAGCATCACCATCATCGTCATACTCATCAGCATCATCATCATCGACATCATCGACACCATCGACAATCATCATCATCAGCAGCAGCAACAGCACTATCCCCAGCATGATCATCATCATCAGCATCATCGTCGGCGTTACAGCCGTCATCAGGGTCGGCAACAGTAACATCACCATCATCAACATCACCATCATCGTCAACAGTAGCATCAGCATCAGTATCAGCATCAGCATCATCATCATATTCCTCATTACCACCATCGCCATCATCCTCATCCCTTCTCCCTGCTCTCGCCCCTCCTCCCACGACAGACCCTAAATTCCTCTCCTTCCTCTGGTTCTTCATATTACTCTTCAAAGTAGTACGATCTGTAGTTTCATTATTCTTGCCACTACGATTACTACTACAGTTCTTTTTTATGGTGAGTCGAGTACAAGTAGTAGTACAGCAGTAGTAGTAGTAGTAGTCGTAGTAATAGTAATCGTCGTAGTAGTAGTCGTAGTAGTAGTCATAGTCGTAGTCGTAGTCGTAGTCGTAGTCGTAGCAGTAGTAGTAGTAGTAGTAAAAGTCGTCGTCGTCGTCGTCGTCGTCGTCGTCGTCGTCGTCATCGTCGTCGTCGTCGTAATCGTCGTAGTAGTAGTAGTAGTAGTAGTAGTAGTAGTCGTCGTCGTCGTCGTCGTCGTCGTCGTCGTCGTCATCGTCGTCGTCGTCGTAATCGTCGTAGTAGTAGTAGTAGTAGCAGTAGTTGTAGTAGTAGTAGTAGCAGCAGCAGCAGCAGTAGTAGTAGTAGTAGTAGTAGTAGTCGTAGTAGTAGTAGTAGTAGTCGCAGTAGTAGTAGCAGCAGCAGCAGCAGTAGTA